CTCTCCGAACGCTGGCGGGCCTCTATTCGTGGAGCTGCAGACGGGGGAGGTTGGCAGCAAAAGGAATTATGGGGATGTCCTGCGCTCAGACGAAGAAGACGGAGACGAGGGACGAAGAGGAAGAGACGATAGTTTCACTCTTTGCTTCTTCGATGGCTTTGACCCTGTGGCTGTTTCGTCTGACCGCAAGATCGTGGACTCTGGAGTGCTGCTGCGAGTTAAGTTGGCCTTGGTGATGGTGATGGTGATGGTCAGGTCGAGGGAGTCAAAAGACGGAGGCAAAGGCAGTGGTCGGGACAGGCGGAAGTCATAGCAGAGTCAGTGCGAGTAGTAGAGTAGAGCGTAGAGTAGAGTAGAGTAGAGTAGAGTGGTGGTAGAGTGGTGATAGTCGTGATGTTGGTGATAGTCGTGGTGATGGTGATGGTGATGGTGATGGTCAAGATGGAGTCTCTCTCTCTCTCTCTCTCTCTACCTACGACCACTACGACTACGACCATGACCATGACCATCTGCTATCTACTTCGACTTCGACTTCTACTACTATCCTGTATTAATCTCCAGTCACCTACTAGTCGACGCATCTCTTTGTCCCCTAGGCATGCAGCTAGACGGCGAATCTGTTCTTCCAGCCCAGCCAAGCGCCTCGTCACCTCCAGGGCGTTTTTTCTTCGCCAGCCAAAAAGGACAACCAGCGACGACCATCACCCTCCCTCGAGCTATCGACTAGCACCGCATTCTAGCTCTCTTCTAGCCTGTTAATCGCTGCTCTTCTTGACTCTTCTAATAATCACTCTCAAGATGCTCTCGCGGATAGCTGGCCGGGCGGTCGTGGGCAGACGCCTGCTCGTCGCCGGCACGAGACAGTCCTCGACCTGGGGAGCTGTGCCCCAGGGGCCTCCAGTAGGTCATCTCCAGCCTCAATGGCACTCACCAGACACTCAATTGAAGTAGAAAAGATGCTGACGGGTGTAGGACGCCATCCTGGGCATCACCGAGGCCTTCAAGGCCGACTCCTTCAAGGACAAGATCAACCTCGGCGTCGGTGCCTACCGTAGGTCCAACCTCCTACCTATACAACAGCTCCAACAGCTACATCTACAAGATATATATATTGACAGAATACAGGGGATGACAAGGGAAAGCCATACGTCCTGCCGTCCGTCAAGGCCGCCGAGTCCAAGGTCGTCTCCTCCAGCCTGGACAAGGAATACGCCGGCATCACCGGCATCCCGGCCTTCACTGCCTCTGCCGCCAAACTCGCCTACGGAGCCACCAGCCCGCTCATCGCCCAGGACCGCATCGCCATCACCCAGACCATCTCGGGAACAGGAGCCCTGCGCGTCGCCGCCGCCTTCCTGCAGCGATTCTACCCTCACTCCAAGACCGTCCACATCCCCACGCCCAGCTGGGCCAACCACGCAGCCGTCTTCAAGGATGCAGGCCTCACCGTTGAAAAGTACAGATACTACGACCAGAACACCATCGGGCTCGACTTTGAGGGCCTGCTGCAGGACATGCAGAGTGCAGCGGACAAGAGTGTCTTCTTGCTGCATGCCTGTGCACATAACCCGACGGGCGTGGACCCGACGCAGGACCAGTGGCGCAAGATCGCGGAAGTGATGAAGCAGAAGGGCCATTTTGCTTTCTTCGACATGGCCTACCAAGGGTTTGCGAGTGGTGATATCCATCGTGATGCTTTTGCGTTGAGATATTTCGCCGAGCAGGACATGCCTTTGCTCTTGTGCCAGAGCTTTGCTAAGAATATGGTGAGACTTATACTACTTGAGATGTAGATTGTATGCTAATGAGTGATAGGGCCTGTATGGTGAACGTGTAGGTGCATTCTCGGTTGCTTGTGCGTCTCCGGAAGAGAAGAAGCGCGTCGACTCGCAGATCAAGATCCTCGTGCGGCCGCTGTACTCCAACCCCCCCGTCCACGGCGCCCGCATCGCCTCCGCCATCATGAACGACCCCCAGCTCAACGCCCAGTGGCTCGTCGAGCTCAAGGCCATGGCCGACCGCATCATCGAGATGCGCGCCCTGCTCAAGGAGAACCTCGAGAAGCTCGGCAGCAAGCACGACTGGAGCCACATCACCTCCCAGGTACTCTCTTACTTATCTCTATATCTATATCTATATCTATATATCAACTGCTAACATCTCTAGATCGGCATGTTTGCGTACACCGGCCTCAAGCCAGACCAGATGGAGAAGCTTGCTAAAGAGGTCAGTCTCTTCTTCTTCTTCTTCTTCTACTACTACTTCTTCTTCTTCTTCTGCTAACATCCTCTAGCACTCCGTGTATGCTACCAAGGACGGCCGCATCTCTGTCGCCGGCATCACCTCCGACAACGTCAAGCGTCTGGCCGAGTGCATCTACAAGGTCACCGGCTAGATTCTCCTCTTCTTACCTTAGCCATTGACCCTGTATAACATGATAGAACTAGACTGCTTCTTCTTCTCTTCCTCTACTCCTACTTCTACTCGCTGTAATATCATCTCTGATAATGCTGGGATCTGCCGCCCTTCACATGTCTGCGACTTTCGTCTCGTCTTCACCTCCAACTCCATCTTTGCTCTTAAACTGTCTGTCTCTGCCTTAACCTGCCATCTCCATCTCCATCTCCATCGCCATCAACATCAACTCCATCTATCAACCATCGTCCATCTATCTATCTACTAGCTCGTCACTGTCGCCGTTCTGTAAGGCCTTCGCTGCTTCTCCGCCGCCAAGAAAAACATTTCAACTTAACCTCGGAACCTGCAGCTTCTCGTCTTCTTCCCTTCGCCCGCCGCTCCTCTGGAACCGCCATCGCATCCGCGCCCGCAGGCTCTCAGCAAATCCGACCGACTCCAGCCTGGACGCCGAAGCAAGGGAGAGAAAAGAGACTCCATCGCACGCTTGCAGGTTCGCGCAGTGGAGAGCCGGCGTCTTCAGTTGCTCCGTCTCTGTCGTTCGTTCCAGCTTGCCTCCGACTCGCCCCAGACTCAACGGCCTCACCTCCTCCTACACCTCCCTACGCCCTTAAACACCTCCAAAGACAGTCAAAAACTCCTACAGACACTCGAATACTCTCAAGATATACGTACGATAGGATAATCATGGCTCAGGCGCTGCCCACGGCCATGGCGATGCAGGCAAAGCTCATGGCCCTCGCCCGCTCGTCCTCCAGCGCCGTCTTCTCCCTCTCCAACTTCGACATGCAAGTCCATCCCTATACCCCTATCCATCTTCCCCTTCTACCTCTACTTCTACCCTACTAACAGCCTCTAGAGCCCGGAACATCGTCTTCTTCGTCTTCGTCCTGCGTCTGCTGCGCCGCTCGTTCTACACCCTCCGCGGCCATGGCATCTTCGGCACCCTGCGCAACTTCTACACCTACCTCCGTCTGGTCTTCTACTCGCTCTTCCTGCGCGCCCCGGGCGTCCGCTCCCAGGTCGACAGGCAGGTCAAGACCGCTCTGACCAAGCTCGAGCAGAAACTGGCGCCCCAGGAGCCCGGGATGGTCAAGTTCGTCAGCTTGCCCAAGAAGGGCATGAGCAACGACCAGGTCATGGCCGAGCTCGAGAAGCTGGGCGGCATGAAGCATACCATGTGGGAGGACGGCAAGGTCAGCGGCGCCGTCTACCATGGCGGAGACGAGCTGTTGAAGCTGCAGACCGAGGCCTTTGGCAGGTTTGCCGTCGCTAATCCCATCCATCCTGACGTCTTTCCGGGCGTCAGGAAGATGGAGGCTGAGGTCGTTGCCATCGTAAGTCAATGAAGCAATCAATGGATAAAAAAGTAAAGACGCTGACTTGACAGGTTTTGTCGCTGTTTCATGCGCCGGACGGATCTGCTGGTGTGACTACTAGCGGCGGAACGGAGTCTATCCTCATGGCCTGTCTGTCTGCTCGCCAAAAGGCCCTGGCCGAGCGTCGTGTCACCGAGCCTGAGATGTATGCTCAACTATCTTCTTCTTCTTCTTCTTCTTCTTCTTCTTATATATATTTGTACTAACAACTAATAGGATCATACCGGAAACCGCCCATGCGGCATTCACCAAGGCCTGCAAGTACTTCGGCATCAAGCCGCACTACGTCGCCTGCCCGGCCCCAGACTACATCGTGGACGTCTCTGCCGTCCGCCGGCTCATCAATCCCAACACCGTGCTGCTGGTCGGATCGGCCCCCAACTTCCCCCATGGCCTGGTCGACGACATCCCGGCCCTCTCGCGGCTGGCCGTCACCTACAAGATCCCCCTGCACATCGACTGCTGTCTGGGCTCCTTCGCCATCGCCTTCCTCAAAAAGGCCGGCTTCCCGTCCCCTTACGAGGACCAGGGCGGCTTCGACTTCCGCCAGCCGGGTGTCACCAGCATCAGCGTCGATACCCACAAGTACGGCTTTGCCCCCAAGGGCAGCTCCGTCGTTCTCTACCGCCACCGCTCGCTGCGTACATACCAGTACTTCGTCATGCCCAACTGGCCCGGCGGCGTCTACGCCTCCCCTTCCATGGCCGGCTCTCGTCCCGGCGCCCTGATCGCAGGCTGCTGGGCCAGCATGATGGCCGTCGGCGAGTCCGGCTACATCGACAGCTGCCACCAGATCGTCAACGCTGCACGCAAGTTCGAACGGGCTGTCCGTCAGAACCCCAGTCTGCGCTCTACCCTCGAGATCGTCGGTAAGCCCATGGTAAGTGTCGTTGGATTCGCCTCGTCCACTCCCGAAGTAGACATCTACGATGTTGCGGATGCCATGACCAATATGGGCTGGCACTTGAATGCCCTCCAGTCCCCGCCTGCAATGCACGTTGCGTTTACCTTGCCTACCGCCAATGCCGTGGACCAACTGATTGACGATCTGACCACTGTGGTGCGCGAGGAGGTGCTCAAGGCCGAACAACGACGGGCCGCGGGCGTCAAGGTCGAGAAGAAGCGCGGCGATACCTCTGCCTTGTACGGTGTTGCAGGCAGCATTCCGGACAAAAGCATTGTTCGTCGTCTTGCAGAGGGCTTCCTCGACACTCTTTACCTCAATTAACCTGGCATTACGGACATCACTCTGGATATCACTCTGAACACCATACTGGACACCATCTACTGTCTTGGATGAACGGACCTATAAACCAAAAAACTTGTATATTCCTCGGGCTGTCGGTGTATATTGTTATCGTTATTGATATTGCTATTTTTACTCTGCACAACTGTACATTCAAACAAGCAACGCACCTAAGAACCAACGCACTCTTCATAAAGAAGTATCAATACATCTATCTATAATACATGACTTTTTCCTCAGCTTCAGTCCAGTCCAGTCCAGTCCAGTCCAGTCCAGTGTAATGTAGTGTAGTTCATGCCTCCCTCTTCTCCCGCCATACTTCCTCCGCCCTTCTCTCAACATAGTATCCTGGATCCGGCTTGCGTTGTAACCGAAGCTGTTCCCGACTCAGCGGCTTATCTACCTCCGTCACGGCAACAAGCTCCTTGACTTTCATGATCTGGCCCGCCACGTCTCTGCTGACGGGGTAGAAGACGGTAGCCATGCGCTTCTTGAGGCCCAGGGCATGCAGCACGCCTGTTGTTTTGCGCGGCAGGCCTATAGCGGACCGCAGAAGGGTGATGCGGAAGTAGGACATGCCGTCGACGTAGAAACTCTTGTATATTCGACGTAGGAGGACTGCTAGAGCAGAAACTGGTAGAATTGGTAGAATGGTGTGATGTGATGTGCTGTGTTGTGTGCTCTGTGTGTTGCTTGCAAGGATAGTTTCGCCCTCGTCTCGTCTTTGTCTCGGTTTAAGTGCTGATATCAAAACGTGCTGGGAGCCCTTTCTCCGTCCGTCCTGGGGGGCGTTTTCTTTTCTCCTCTCTTTTCGATCCTGATGGTGTCCGATCGATCCTCGTCAAGCTGTCGGCTGCTGGCTGTTCGTCGTTGATTTTGATTGCTGTATCAAAAGAGCGCGGGTTGATATTCCAGCTCCAGCTCCAACTCCAACCTCAGCGTCCGATTGATATTATATTGAATCCTGACTTTTGCACGTCGATCGATCGATCTCGCGTCCCGTCCTGGGCCAGGCGTATGAAACAGCCCGTCAGTTCAATCTGCGTCGTGCTCGTCGTCGTCTTCTCTCTTTCGTGGTTGTTCGTTGCCTCGACCGGCCCAAGCAAGCAGGATAACTAGTTAAACCACCACGCTCAACTGTCCGGCTGTCCGGCTGTCCGACGATCCCAACTGTCTAACTGCCTGTCTGCCTATCGTCTGTCAAAAGTGCAATTGATCTCAGCAATTCGAGTTGAAGCCCAGTCAGTCCTTGAGATCCATCCATTCCGTCCAGTCCGTCGTCTGAGAAAATTACGACGGATCATCGATTGTCCGCCGCAAACGCCCTTCATTGCTTTTTCCTTCGAGAGGGAGGGCCAACGATGAACGAGCGTCGCAAAGTCCGGCTCAGCCTCTTGCCAGGGTCGACTCCGTCTGTGGCGCAAAGACGAGCTGCTTTTGAACAGAAGAAGGACGCTGGCGCGGGCGCGGGAGCTGGTGCTGAGAGGCCGCAGATACGCCGCACCAGGTCGAGTCGCATACGCAGACGGCACGAAGAGCTTCAGGGGATCGCGGAACAGCCGCTGCAGCAGGAAGCCCAAGGTGGGATACAGACACAGATACAGGAGACAGAGGTCGAGGTCGAGGTCGAGTTACCTGCGTCTGGCAGTGTTGATACTGTTGAGAGCGATTCTCGTCCGGTCGACGCTGGCGCAGATATCAACATCGCCCGCCAACCACAACCACAGCCACCACTACAACCACCACCACTACAGCAGCAGCAACTACAGCAACAACAACTACAACAACGACGGTACTCTAGATGGATAGCTGCTGCTCCTAGACGACCGTCGACGCTACGAACAGTGACTGTGCCCTCGCCGGAGCCGCCGCTACTCACGCCGCCCCTGACAAGCTCCAGCAGCGACTCGCTCTGCTTTGCTGCCCCGGTCCAGGCACCGGCATACCATGACAGTGAACCCCCATGCAAACCTGCTGCACAAGAACGACCCCAATTGATCCTTCATACCCCTCCTACGTCCACGCGGACATCATCCTCTACTGCGTCAGACCCAGACATGGCGGACGAAAACGGCTCGGACGGGAGCCTGGTGGTGCCCCGGCTAGAGGACCTGCTACGGCATCCCGAAGACCTGGAGAAGATATCGGTGCTCAAGGCAGAATATACCAGAAAGAAAGAAAACGTCGATTCACAGCTGCGAGAAGGGCTGCGGGACCAGCTCGAGCTCGTGCAGCGCAGCCTGGCTGACCTGGCCGAGGGCAGAAGGCAGATCATGGACGCAAAGATGGGGCCGCAGGGCATCGACAGGCTCTGGGCCGAGTCGCAGTCTGCTCTCGGCGACTTCGCGCAGATAGACAAGCTGGCCAAGATACAGCGCAATTTCGAAGCGGTGCTCTTCATGAAGAAGGGGCTCGAGACGTTTCATGCTGACGTGGCCGAGGTAGAGCGCATGCTGCGCGAAGACGACATGGACATGGAGAACCAGCCCAACCTCCTGAACATACACATGGCCCTCTCGCGTCTGCGGGACTTCCGAGACGAGGCCATAGACCAGATACGCAGGGCCAAGGATAAGAGCAGCGAGGCCACCCTGACCGAGCTGTTTGAGGGGCTCGACCCGGCCATTGAGTGGTTCGACGACCACCTCGGCACCGCTTGCATGAATATCATCCCGCTCATCCAGGCGGATAACCGCAGCATGGTCGTCAGGCTCGCGGTCGTTATTGCGAATGAAGAGAAGAATGATGCCAAAGTCAGGGCCTTGCAGGATGCGCAGAAGGACCACGAGTATCTCGCCAGCAGGTTCAAGTCCATGAACATCGGGCCCAAGACTATCAGGGGCTACAAGGAAAACTTCCTCAAGAGCATCGAGCTGTACGCCCAGCCCAACTTTGAGGACTCGAAACAGCAGTTCCTAGATGACCCGGACAGACTGGAGAAGAGCTTTAAGTGGTTCTTCAACGACCTGTTTACCGTCCAGCAGGGGATGCAGAACCTGGTGCCGAAGAAGTGGAAGATCTTCAAGACATACACTGACATATACCACCGCATGATGCACGACTGGCTCATTGAGTTTGTGGATGACCCCCAGATGCCCGCTGCCAACATGCTGGCCATCATCAACTGGTCAGAAAAGTACTATAAGAAGATGAAGAAACTCGGATGGGAGGCATCAGACCTCGTCCCCAACGTGCTCGATGACCGCGAAGGCGAACTCGTACAAGACTGGCGTAACCTCATCGTCAAGGCCCTGGATGAATGGATGGACCGCATGTTCAACACCGACAAACGGGCATTCCTCGACCGTGACATGGACTCCCTCGACACCAACCCGGACGGGTTCTTCCGCACCAAGACCCTCGGAGACATGTGGCGCATGCTTCACGAACAGCTTCAGGCTGCCGGTGCCTCCCAGCGTACAGACGTCGCCGAGGGCGTGGTAGACGCCATGTTCCGCTCCCTCAAGACCCGCCAGTCAATGTGGCAGACCATGCTCGACGAAGAATGCGCAAAGTACAAAACATCCACCATCGACCAGCCCGAGAGTCTCCAACAGTTCCAGGACTGGCTCATCGCCGTCGCCAACGACCAGATCGCTTGTATTGACGACAACGACGCCTCCGGCCAGCTAGGCCACTTGACCCGTTTCAACCGTGACTTCGAACCGCTCGTGACAGACAAATACCTAACTGCCCAAGCAGCCAACGAAGTCGCTACAATACGAGACGGATACGTCGATCTAGGCACACACTGCATATCCGTCTTCATCGACCTGATTTTCTCCGTCGACTTCCGCACCACGCTGCCTGAATTCTTCACCCAGAAATGGTACGGCGAGTTCGCTATGAAGCGCATGATCTCTACTTTTGAAGACTACATAAGCGATTACCATGCCGTCCTCCACCCGTCTCTACGTGATATCCTCGTAGAAGAAATCTCCGACGAGCTGCTGGTCCACTACCTCTCTTGCGTGCGCAACAAGGGTGCCAAATTCCGCCGTCAAGACCCGTACACCGAAAAGTTCAAAGACGACATCTTGACTGTCTTTGGCTTTTTCCAGAAATTCCCCGACTCCTTTGGCGGAGGCATCAAGGACCGATGGAGACTTGTCGACTGGCTTGTTCGATTGCTTGAGGCAGACAAGGCTGGTGTTGTTGTGGTTTACGAAGGGTTCAAAACTGAGTACTGGGATCTGCAGCTCTCCTGGGTTGAAGCTGTGTTACGATGCAGAGACGACTTTGAGAGATCCATGGTCAGCGCCATCAAGGCAAAGGCCGCTGAGCTATCGGTTGAAATGGGTCCCGATACACTCATGGGAAGAGTCAGATAGAGCCACATACATGCCTTTCGGGTGACGTGACTTGGAGATGACATTTGAATATATCTGGCACAAATTTATTTTTGGCTATATGCTATGCTTTACTTTAATCTGTCTATTTAACTACTTATATCAGGTCTTCGCCATCGCTACTTTCAGTGATGGTCGAAGTGCCCGGCGTTTGCTTGATGGGACTGCATTCGTGGAGTTGCCGTGTTCAAAAGGGCCAACAGTGTGAATTAGAACATACACTATGTGGATATGCGGGATGGAGATGGGTCTCAATAAAGATAATATCCGTTTATTCAATCTATCAAAGAGCCAGTAAACGTTAAATATATCCTCTATTATCCATTAAATATGCCAAAGTGATCCTCAATCAAGCCGACGCTGATGGACTATTCTATATTCCTGTCCGAGTACTGGGCCACCCTTGGCCTCATCATGGGATACTGGCTTCGCGCCCATCTCGCAAATACATATCCTATCAATTGGAATCCCCTTAGCCCATATGAACGGCTCACGCTCAACTTCAGCATCTTTGCCCTTGACGTCCTTGGAACCGGCAGTGTGCTGTCTATGCCGACTTCCTGCAAACTTCTCTAGTAACTCAGTTGCATCAAATTTCACTAATGACTTGTCTTTACCCCTTTGACCTTTGCCACCCTGTTGGGAGGCTGGCTTTCGTTTTCCAAGGTAAATGGTATTGGCGATGGTTGCATGAAGAAGCAATGGGCGCGGTTTGAATTCTGGAACAATTGGGTTCACAGCTGGTGTAGTCGATGCACTGGCATCTTCCTCCTCCTCCCCTTGGTCTCCGTTTTCATCTGAGCCCTCGTTGTCCTTGGAGCTTTCACCTGGAACCACCTTATTACGAGGTTTGGCCTTAACCATGTCCCGATGCATGAATCCGGCTTCAATAAACCTATCTCGCAACTTCACGCAAAACGGATACAGCCGGCCTGAGGTATCCAATGGCGAAGCATGTAGAACAGTAGCTGCCCGGGTCCTTGGAATGGCATGCAGCGATACCAAATCAATTGATAGGGGTCCCTTTGCATCACTCTCGTCTTTGGACTTTGCTTCTTCCTCCACCTCTTGCATTATGGAGGCCAGATCAAGCGAACGGAAAAAAGACAGCGTTTCATCCAGCCGTTCTTGACTGGTTAGACTCATAACCCCCAGCGTGAAATGCAGCGTTCCGAGCGGCCGCAGAGCTCCATACGGCACGAGTGGTGCGTCAGGCGCATGGCCTGCCGCTGGGCCAGAAGGAGGGACAAGTGGAATTAACGATTTGAATTTAGCAAGTGAGCTTTGAAGCTGGTATATCGACTGTTCGTTTATCAGGGGTATGCAGAGAAAGTGCGTCAACGGCGGCTTGCTGCTGGCTCGATTATTATTCCCCTGGCCTCCGCCACCCCGTCCGGGTCTTCTGGAGTTACCCATCCCGCCAGAGTAGGAGATCTGATATGCCCGAGTCCCCTGGACGCGCGTGGTATGAGAGATTAGCTGCCGGAAGTGGTGTTTTATCATTGAACTAGACGCTTGGTTCCAGATGCAAGAATGGCCTGACAATCAAGACGTATTATCCACATAGTCAAGCATGCTCGGCTCAGCTAGCCCAGGCTCAAGTGGATCTGCGCTGACCAGGAACCAAAGCTGCCTGTCAACGGTCCCTTGCTGGTTGTTGGAGTGTTAAGACGCCGGAGTTGGTGTTGTTGGTTGTTGTTGGTTGTTGATCCGGGAGCATCGACGTCATCTTGCGCAACCTTTCTAGCTCCGTCTTTTCTCCACAGGCAAAAACAACGACGACCAGCCAAAGTCAACTTCTCACCAACAACAGCCCGTCGATTACTTTGCAGCACACGGAGAACCAATCGATACCATCGCCTGTAAAGGTACGAGTCTGTCACTGTCACAATGCTATACAAAGTCGGCAGCCGAGGAGCTCTTCGCTCGCTTCTCTCCTCGTCTCGTGCGCATCGCTCTCACATCACAACGGCAGCAACTCGTACACATTCAAGGACAATCCGTCCTACAGTCTCCCGGTCAATTCCACAGAGATCATTCTGCTCGTCGCCTGCTTCGTTCAAGGGAATCACACCGGGCTCCTCGGATCCTGCTCCGCCAAATCCTGAGCCCAACTACATCGGTGTCAAGCAGGTCACTGAAGCGTCATACATATCAGAGCCGGAATACCGTGATCGCTCTGAGGAATATATCAATGCTCTGATGGCAGAGATAGAGAGGACCCAGGAAGAGCAAGGGTCAGAGGTAGAAGCCGAGTACAGCGTATGTGAAGCTCATTTATCTGACAAGGAAAAATTTAACGGCTCTTTACTTACACAACGTTCGACTTAGGCCGGAGTACTCAACGTCGTCGTCCCTGGAATCGGTACCTACGTCCTCAATAAACAGCCCCCGAACAAGCAGATATGGCTCAGCTCGCCCATATCTGGCCCCAAGCGGTTCGACTGGGTCGTTCAAGGCGACGAGATGACCGAGAAAGAAGGCACTCGGGATTATGTCGGTGGACAGTGGATATACCTTCGTGATGGGACAAACCTGACAGATATTTTGAACGCAGAGTTGAACCTGGAGTTGAGAGCAAAGATCCACGAATGAAAGAGTCGCCTGATACAAGGCTTCAGGATTTGTGCTTGCCAGCTTCCGGCTAGACGTCGTTTTAATTGTGAAGATCAGATCACATTTGTACATGTATATGCTATCTTTGCTTATGGCACATTGTGAATGTTACAACACTTTGTACGACAAAGGCTCATGTCCCTCCTTCTTCGGACTTCCTCCCCTGCCCATATTCTGGCTTGCCTCGAGGTATGAGGTCTATATCTCCTGAAAACCGTACAGCAGCTTTCCCACATAACTGTATACTGTATACTCCTGCCCGGGCAGGCCTAGCATCGGAGCTGGCTCTCTTCCTTCATACTCGTGGCATGGCTCGGTGTCTTTCACGAGTGGGATCGATATTGGTGGTATATCTCTCAACAACGAGGTCTTGTCTTCCCATCGTAAATTAGGAGTCTCGATTAAAGTAGTAACGGGTTGTTCGGTCGTATCCGTCTTCGACATTTAATCTTTCCCTTGCACCATTACGCTGTGATAGCAGTAGCCACTCCGCCATTACTTCCGCTGTCGTCCTTTGGTAGATCAGCCTGCGCAGACACAAGTTAGTCTTAGGCCCCAATTTGCGTCAAAAGCAGATATATCTCACCTCATCAAAGATGACCCTAATCATCAGACTACAGCTAGGACAGACACCGATGTCCTCTCCATCGCGCAGGTCTGCGAGGCCGATTTCAAACCTATCCCCGCATGGACATGGGTAGTGGTATATTTGCAACACAGGATCGAAGGTCATGTCTTCGATTTCAATCTCATCATAGATAGAAATTGAGTCCGCCATGATATAGCCCCGTTTATAACTCTTGACAATATTATAGAAATCTGCGAGGATCGAAAGTTTGTATTATTCTTTAAGCATGACGAAGGCTTTTTGTTCAGTCAAAATTTCTTGGTGGCGTTTTTGATAAGATTAACTTTATTATGTCATTGTCTAATTGAGAAGATCACATGATTCTCCATCGATTATATAGAGGTCATGTGCAATTTGTGTTGATGACTCATCGATTAACTTCCTATTAAGGTAATTTACAGCTTAATAATAATTTTGTTAATGGAATACAGACTAGTACAAAAATACATTAGAACAACCAATAATATGGTGTCATTTTGAAGTACATAAATTACACACGTAACCAGCTAACCAGAAAAACGTCAAGGGCGTGACTCGAGATTTGATTGATAGCCGTAGTCAATTTTATCATAATCGTACAAATGTCTTGGTACATCTTTTAGTGCATAGTTTTTGGCTTCACCTAGCCGATTTGCTCCCCTGGATATCAACAACAGCCAACACCCCAGAACTTAACGTGAAAAATAGGACCGACAAGAAGAGTCAACAGAAAAGACAAGGAACAAAACTGACAAAAGGGAAAGTATTAGGTACCAAGAGAAAACTAGACAAACCTAACGTCGAAACTCCGGGCAAAAGGGAAACGCAGCAAAGGAGGAAAGGAAGTAAGAAATAACAAAAAATTCCGTAAACACGTACAGACGAGAGAGAAGATAGGAGTACTTTCGATGACCAGATGCAGTGAAATTCCATGTCCGAGTCCCTTCTTTGCGCTGAGTTGAAAAAGCAGAAGACGGTAGAAAGGGAGAATGTGAGTTCAAAGTGACAGGAACGGAAATGAAGTCTAAATTGATTACGTGAACATTAGTTGCGATGGTTTGGCGAGATTGTTCGGGATGGGCAGGAAGATGGTATATCATGGGAGAAGGGGAGGGAACGTCATTGTTGGACATTGAATTGCTGGCTTGGTGTGGCAACTCGCGATTGATTGGCGTGAAGGTGGACCTTCTTATCCCTGCTGATAGATACACGATGTATGTATGTATTCCCGACAGGAATAGAAAACCTCTGGGAGAGAAGAGATGGAGGAGAGAGATGAGTAGTGACATGGTCTCAACATCATACTCTTGCCCACACAAAATGGAAAGAAAAGAGTTGATGGAGTGAGAGCAGAGCACGGCTGGCTTTGTAGAGAAAATAGCCAGCCGACACAGCATAGTAATGACCTGTCTACTCTTCTTCACTCTCTTCCGAGTCTTCGTCGTCACCGCTGCTTTCAGACTTGGGAGCTACAGGGTAACATAGTTAGCTTCAACATCGAGACTTGGCAGCTGAGTTCTATATTTGGTAAACAAACTTACCCTGTTCATAAGAAGGTCCTCCCGTAGCCGCCACTGCAGCGCCAGCACCGCCTTTGAACTTCGACAGGTTACTCTGCAAAGAACGAATTTGCTTTTCTTGCTCTGTCTTGTTCATTGGCTTGCTCTTCTTGGGTTTCGGCTGGGGCAAGGAAGGGAGAGGCTCCGGTTCACTTGGCTCCTCGTAGCCCTCCAGGATAGAAGGAGCAGCGTGCTTCTTGACGAATTTGAGGAGGATCACAAGAACATGGTTTGGAAGTTCGTCGATGTCAAGTTCGATATCATCCTCGCCAACTCCCTGCAAGAATACCGTTAATATGGAAAAAACTTGTATCAAGGAAACGGGATATAAAACGGGAGAAGCTTACCCGAAGAGAGGGTACGTGTTTCTGAATAATAGCCAATGCCTCCTGCATTCTATTCTCTGACAAGCTGCTGATTCCATTTGAGATCAAGGATTTCTCCTCGTAGGTGACCCAGCGACCACCCTTCTCTCCCTTAACCTTTGAGCCGCCGCTCTTCTTATCCTTCTTGTCGGCCGTTCTGGCAGCGCCTTTCTTCACATCTTTTTTACTCTTAGACTTGCCCAGCTTCTTCGAGGCAGGGGGGGTCTTTTTCTTCTTGGTGATTGCCTCAACCTGCTTTGACATTTCTGCAATTTGTTTCTGCAGCATGGTCAGTTTTTCCTGCTCATCGTCGGTCTCATTTTCTTCCTCCTCAGAAGATTCTTCGGAGGTTCCGGCTGACTGATGGCCCGAGGCAGGTTCATGATTGCGCACCCAAGCATCCTTTGTAGACCATTTTGCATCGAAGGTCGCCTCGGTAGTCTTTCCAGCAGAGTACACGGGGTCACCAACGATGTTGAATTTATAGCAGTTCTTGAAAATCAGACGCATATCTGCCTCGAACTCCTTTGCGTTTTCGTATTGGCCCTCCGAAAGCTTCTTTTGCATTGTCTGCAAGTCCATCGGTTTCTTAATTACATTGTGATAGCTAGGGATGTTAAGGGCAACTGGGTCGACAGGGAAATAGAAAAACGAGGCGTGAGCGTAGTATTTGTGCTTGTGTAGTTCATTAAGAACCTCCTGACAGAATTTAAGTTCTTGCTGGAACTTCTTTTTCTTGGGCTTCATGGAGAAAGGAAGGTCTCGATTCTTAGGTGGGTGGATGGATCGCTTCGGTCTGCCATCAGTCGTAGTCGAGTCACGACGGATAAGGGGGAGACCTTCTGGACCAAGTGCAAAAGTCGGGGATCCAGCATTGCTGGCGCGTGGAGCCGCGGGGGCAGCAGCGGGGACAACAGCAGCTGGAGGAGCGGGAGCGGGAGCTGGAACAGGTGGCCGTGTCTCTCTTCGAGGTGGTTGTGTTTTAGTTGGCACACTTGCAGCCTTCTTGCTCTTCTTTTCGGCGGGAGTGATTTCAGGTGCATCGTGGTTAGGCAGCTTCTTGAGGTGTTTTTGAAAGTGCTCGTACAGACGATCACCTGCCAGTGAGACAACATGCGCAGGCCCATTGAATGTTTTTGAATTGTTAACCATGAGCTCGAAATCGTTTATGACGTCCTGGAGCGTTCGGTATTGTTCTGATTTTAGCTTGCCTTCCATAGTCAGCAGGTCCATGGGGTGCTTGACAAAGTCATAGTACGTGGGTATGTTTAGCTTGACTATATCGACAGGAGCCTTGAACATCTGACCATCACTAATGCGCCTTAAGGACTGGATTGTGCGGATGAGAAATTTTACCTGAACCTTGGTCAGGTCCCGATGTAGGTCTGGAACGCCATTTGTAGTGCCAGGGGCGGGAGTCACTGGAGTCGCAGGAGGAGCAGGCTCTCCAGCAGATGAAGGAGGAAGGGCAGAAGTTCCAGCCACTGGGTGATCAGAGCTAATGTCTTCGGTCTTTGTACGTTTTGCTGCCCGTTCGTCGTCATCATCTTCGCGTTCCCGAGAGACCTTTGTAGTGGCTACCTCTCCAGTAGATGACGGAGCTACTTCAGGCACATCTTCCATAACGTGGTCTTCCTTATCCTTTTCTCGGCTTTCAGACACTGCCGTAGGCGTTGTATGGTCCTCTGTCTTCAAAGGTTCAGCCTGTGATACTGCCGGAGCAGGGGCGACATCCATGTCGTGATCCACGTCCTGTTGTCCCTTCTCCTGCCCTTCTGGGGGAGCTGAGGTTGGCTCCGTGGCTGGAGCTGGTTCGGACACTGGGGCTTGCTCTGAAGATAGAGCTGGCTCAGGAGCTTCAGTTGATGAGAATAGAGGGTCGTTCTCATCAACTTGACCCATCGCTGTATCCGCGTTCGCAGTATCTTCCTTCTTAACATCTTCCTTTGACGCATCCATGTTGGCATCAGGGTCAGTGGACTCTACCGCTGGACGGTTCTCCGGCTGTCCATTTACATCCTGGCTTTTGGTACCCTCGCCTAGATGTAAGGCCGCAGTCTCCGATTCCACGCCAGCGGTTTTATGGTTGGAAGGCTGATCGACAGGGGATAGTAGATCAGCCTCTGAGGGCACGTGTACTGCTGAGGAGTCTTGCTTTGACTCCACGCCGTTTGATATGGATGAATGGCCGTTCAGTTGTGGCTGGGAACTCCCGTTTGCGGTGGGAGCTTCCGCTTGCTCGAGGTCTGACTTGGCCCTATCAGGCAAACCCTTTGAACTAGATTCACTGTAGTAGTCGTTAGCCAAATGATAGATAAAAAGAAAAGTATGAGCCCGATTCAACAGCAACATACATTGTGGTGTTTGAATCAGCCTGAGCTTCAGGCTGGGACTGTGAATCTAGTTGGAGAGGGTTGAAAATAGCTTCGGTGCCTTCATTCGGCGGCG